GTGTTTTGTAATAAATGGTTCTTATATATAGGGTTGGATTATTGTTAGTGTTAGGGTTCGGTTACGTGTTAAGGTTAGGGTTAGGGATAGGAGGTATTCATTTTACATTGTTGCATCGAGAAAGTCGAGTGAATGGAGTGCGCTGATTGGCTGTGGTCCGGAACTCAAGTGGGAAAAAAATTTTGCATCCGGGACAGCTCCTTTGCCTCGAGCCACCGCACAGGAACCGTGCGTTCTGACACCTGCGTTGTTTAGCACTGTATACACATACCCACGCTAATTTCAATACCAGCCTTCCCCTTCTGCGTCGGCACACAATTCACTTCAAAAACTCGCACTAAAATGTTAGGCGAAGCTGAGGGCCGTCGCGAGTTGGCACACAGAGCTCTCCTGGCAAACAAGCTCTTCAGCTCGCTTGCTACCTGAGTCATGCCGTAACCGGCTACTACTACGCGTGTGCACCCGAGATGAAAGATACTCGAACAATCGCGAGTGTGGCGGGAAAGCATCTGGTAATTCCGAGAAATACCGAGGGAGAAATTTCCACCGAGAAAATATCGGAGACGGGAGATGTCGTCGGTATTTGATTAGGTTTTTTGGAAAATCTTCCCAAACGTTAAGACTTTTAGAGCTTTCATATCTGGAAGCATAGTCTTACTTTTGATGTAGAGACTAAATTGAAAACATCTTTCCCGGGAGAAGCCCCTAAGCTAGCCAAGAAGTAAAAGAAAAAAAGAAAAAAAAGAAGAAAAAGAAGAACAAGAACAAGAACAAGAACAAGAAAAAGAAGGTTAAGAAGAAGAAAAGTAGAGTGGAAATTTTAGGAGAAAGAAATAGACAAATGACTGGCGGTCGGCAAACTTCGGATGTTCTTCTCGTGCTGTATAGCAAATCGAGTGGAAATGTTTAAGTTTCAATTAGTTTTGGTCGAGTAGCGGTCGTGACTTGCCAACACGAGTGGCTACCACCGGATGTTGGTAACGGCACTCGACGAATTATCTTTTGTAAGAATCGTCATTGTGTTGTGTGTCGCATGTCAAGATGATGGGGATTGTACCGATGCGAGTTTGCCTGCGTGTGTTGATGGCATGTGTGTCGCATGTTCAACAAACACGCACTGCACGACTGCAGCAACGCCAGTATGCTGCAATGGTGAGTGTGTCGCATGTCAAGATGATGGGGATTGTACCGATGCGAGTTTGCCTGCGTGTGTTGATGGCATGTGTGTCGCATGTTCAACTAACACGCACTGCACGACTGCAGCAACACCAGTATGCTGCAACGGTGTGTGTGTCGCATGTCAAGATGATGGGGATTGTACCGATGCGAGTTTGCCTGCGTGTGTTGATGGCATGTGCGTCGCATGTTCAACTAACACGCACTGCACGACTGCAGCAACACCAGTATGCTGCGACGGTGTGTGTGTCGCATGTCAAGATGATGGGGATTGTACCGATGCGAGTTTGCCTGCGTGTGTTGAGGCCATATGTGTCGCATGTTCAGCTAACACGCACTGCACGACTGCAGCAACACCAGTATGCTGCAACGGTGTGTGTGTTGAGTGTCAAGTTGATGGGGATTGTACCGATGCGAGTATGCCTGCGTGTGTTGAGGCCATGTGTGTCGCATGTTCAACTAACACGCACTGCACAACTGCAGCAACACCAGTATGCTGCAACGGTGTGTGTGTTGAGTGTCAAGTTGATGGGGATTGTACCGATGCGAGTATGACTGCGTGTATTGAGGCCATGTGTGTCGCATGTTCAACTAACACGCACTGCACCACTGCAGCAACACCAGTATGCTGCAACGGTGTGTGTGTTGAGTGTCAAGTTGATGGGGATTGTACCGATGCGAGTTTGCCTGCGTGTGTTGATGGCACGTGTGTCGTATGTTCAACTAACACGCACTGCACGACTGCAGCAACACCAGTATGCTGCGACGGCGTGTGTGTCGCATGTCA